GCAGTCAGCTGAAGTAGCCTGCAGTACTGCACTCTAACCACTGCGCCACCTCGGACCTTTCAACTTAATGACTGGAGGAAACTTGGAGAAGGTTATAGGCTCCTGCAGTGGCCTTCTTTGCCCCAGTTTGAGCCTGAGCAAACACCCAAATCTTCCATGTTGACCTTTGCCCAATATCAAAGTTGTATCTTGTCTCTTTTCAGCTGTTTTCTACACCGCTGCCATATTGGGCCCAGCAGCTGGCTACTTGGTTGGAGGCATCTTTCTCAATATTTACACTGAAATTGGGAGACGGTAAGTTCCTGGTCCCCTTTCTCTGTCCTTCCATCAGCCCTGAAAATTCCCTTGTGCCCCCTGTCTCAATATACTTCCATCAGGTAGAGGCAAAGTCACTCTCAACAGGGATGCAGCTTGGATTTGGATTTTATTCAATTTGTAGGCCGCCTTATTCCCCGAAGGGACTCAGGGCGGCTGAACAAAGCCAAGGGAGGGAAAATTACAAAAAAGTAAGACAAAGCTTCTTTTAAGTATTCAAGCACTGAGGAGAGGGTTCTTTCAACAGGTTTATTGGAACAGAAGTTATAGACAGAACAAGCAAAGAACAAGAACAACGCCCGCCTGACAGCTATTTATACTTGACAACTGTCAGGCGGGGAACCAATCAGGGAAGCGCAATTCTCCTGCCGGCCAGCAGCCGCGCCAGAGCCAATCAGCTCTTCTTCCTGCTCTGGCCGTGGCTGCCGGCTGCGTCTGGAGGACGCAACAGCTTCAATAAATGTCAGCGTTTTCAAGCAGGTATTTCAAGTAAGATATTTCAGAGCACACTCCTGTCTTGCAGGGAGTCCTGGACCCTTTACGCATGGCAGGAGAGAAAGATGATCACCTTTCATATGCGCTGTCTCCGACGTATTCTTGACATCACCTGGCATGACAATACTCCAAATAGCGTAGTGTTGGAATGTGCTGGAATTTCTAACAGGTCTACTCTATTGAAACAGCAACGTCTACGCTGGCTTGGGCATGTTGTGAGAATGGATCCCGAAAGATCTCCTGCATGGAGAATTAGTGCAGGGAAAGCACCCCAAAGGGAGACCACAGCTGTGATATAAGGATATCTGCAAGAGGGATCTAAAAGGCCTTGGGAATGGGCAGTAACAGCTGGGAAACCTTGACCTCTGATTATTCAGCTTGGGGGCTAAAGACTCAGCATGGCGTTCTCCAATTCAAAGAGACACTCATTTGGCTGGCTGAGGCAGAGGCAGTCCCGGACCCAGCAAAAACTGGGGAATGGGCAGGGGACAGGAAGTATCTGCCCTCAGTGTGGAAGGGATTGCCACTCTCAAATGGGACTTTTTAGCCACACCAGATGCCGTTTTAGGAAGCCTTTCCAGAGCACGATACCAGAGTCTTTCAAGACTGAAGGATGCCAATGAATCTATTTCAGTGTAAATCTGGATGTCCAGATGTTAGGCAAGTTCAAGCATCTTCTAGGCCGGGGGTGTCAAACTCAAGGCCCGGGGGCCGGATCTGGCCCACGGGGTGCTTAGATCTGGCCAGTGGTGGGTTTCAAAAATTGTTTGAACCTACTCTGTGGGTGTGGCCTCCTTTGTGGGAGTGGCTTGCCGCCCATGTGACCGGATATGAAGATGCCGACGATACTTGTCAGAACCACCTTAAATTACCTCACACACAGCACTGGCATGCATTTGAAGTCCAGACATCTTCAAGTTGCCAAGGTTGAGAAACACTGTACTAAATAGACTTTCCCCTCTCTTTGACAGGCTCCTTATCTTTGAATTATTT